GCCCGAGTCATTGGGATATACAAGCCACATACCTGGCTTCACACTGGCACCATAGAGTCATAGAGTCATACAGCACGAAAACAGACCCTTCGGTCCAATCAGTCCATACCGAACATAATCCCAAACTAAATTAGTCCCACCTGCCTGCTGCTGGCCCATATTCCTCCAGATCTTTCCTATTCATGTAATAATCCAAATGTCTTTTAAACATTGTAATTGTACCCACATCCACCACTTCCTCAGGAAGTTCATTCCACATGCAAACCATCCTCAGTGTAAAACAAATTGTCCCTCATGTCTTTTATAAATCCCTCTCCTCTCACCTTAAAAACGTGCCCCCCTAGTCTTGAAATCTCCCATCCTAGGGAAAAGACAACTACCATTAACTCTCTAATGCCCCAACGTGGGGCAATGCAGCCTCCTCACAGCACGAGGGACATGGGTTTGATTCCACCTTCAGGTCTGACTATGTGGATTGCACATTCACCCTATGTCTGTGTGGGTTTCCTCCGGGTGCTCTGGTTTCCTCCCACTGACCAAAGTTTTGCATGTTAGGTAGATTGGCCATGTTAAATTACCCACAGTGTCCAGGGATGTGCAAGCTAGGTGGGTTAGCTATGGGGAATGCAGGGTTATAGGGACAGAGTAGGTCTGGGTGAGAAGCTCTTTGGAGGGTTTGTGTGGACTTGATTGGCTGAATGGCCTGATTCCACACTGTAGGGATTTTATCGATACCTCTCATGATTTTATAAACTTCTAACAGGTCGCTTCTTAACCTCCTAAGCTCCAATGAAAAAAGTCCCAGGCTAGCCAGCCTTTCTTTATAACTCAAACCTTCACATTACTGATTTGTGCAGTAACTAGAACATGTCTTTTGGTTTCAGGACTTACTTTCATTTAGATATTAACTTTTACAATATCTGAGGTTTTTCCCCTGGAGCATCAGAGGCTGAGGAGTGACCTTATAGAGGTTTATAGAATCATGAGAGGCATAGATAAGGTGAATAGCCAAGGTCTTTTTCCCAAAGTAGGGGAGTCCAAATCTAGAGGATATTGGCTTAAGGTGAGAGAGGAAAGATTTAAAAGAGACCTGAGGGGCGACTTTTTCACACAGAGGGTGGTGAGCATATCTAACAAGCTGCCAGAGCAAAAGGTGGAGACTGGTACAATTCCAACATTTAAAAGGCATCTGGATAGGTACATGAATAGGAGGGGTTTAGAGGGAATGGGCCAAATTCTGACAAATGGGACTAGAACAGTTTAGGATATCTGGTCAGCAAGGATGTGTTGGACCAAAGGTTCTGCTTCCATGCTGTTTATCTCTATGACTCCACGACTCTGTAACTGTACTCAATGTGATGAGCAAAAATGAGATTCATAAATGAAAAGTAACCACAGGAAATTTAAAGGATAATAGTGTGCCTCTCGCATTGCCCACAATTAGTTGATGAAATTAATTTCGTATAATGTTCTAGATGGCAACAGATGGGAGAGATACTTTAAAATTTTGCTTTGTGGGACCTAATACTGGTCAAAGCAGTCAACCATACTGTGACAAATGAATATTTACATCCAGGACTCATTTAAAACCTCAATTGCATCTTTCAGCTCCATGTGTAGGTTTCTACTTTGATTTCTGATGGGCTGTACCCTTTCCCTGTTATCTTTTTCCCTTAGTATTGTTACAAAACGTCTTTGGATTTTCTGTATTTTTTTCAGTGAAATCTCTTTCATTATCACACCAATGTCATTCATTCACAATGTCGACTTGAGGGTAATATATTCTAAGTTGCAACACACTTTAAATTTTTGAGTATTCTGATTTTGACATATAATAATTGATGGTAATCGCAAAGTCGCATTGTATTTACTTTGTAATTTGTGAATGAGTGTTATACAGTAGTAATGCAATGTTAAAAGCATGGTACAACTTGCAATATGCTATTTGATAATAACACTTGAATACAGTAATTCTTCACAATTTAAAGTTGTTTTCATGTCTTGGATTTACAGTATGTATTTCTTCCCAGTTACAAAATAAATTTCACACTGTTGAAAGTTTGGTATTTTAATTTTCTGAGTTGGAGAGATGTCACAAATTACAATTATGACATAGTTCTCCTTTAATCAAACTTAATAACTTGAACTGAAATTGTATTGTAATGGTATTTCGACAAAAGGGCAATTATGCTCAGCAGTAATATTGACAATTATTTCAGTCTTTTACATAAATAATAGAATTTGCATGTATTGAACCCTAATAACACAGGATGTATATTATATGGAATTTAACCCTTTGCTCTCCAAAGTCCTTGATTATGTTGTTGCTCACAAACCTACAGTCACCTCTTCTAGAATTCCACATCTGAATCCTTCCAATCACGTTACTTCTCCTCTCACAATTTTTAACTGCCCCTTATCAAAGTCACAACTGATGTCCTATATGACTGTGACAAAGGTAAACTATCTCAACTTGTCCTTCTTAACCTTTCTGTAACCTCTGTCACTGTCAGGGGCAGGAACAGCAATCCCGGACACTGGCACTGCTCCTTAACCTGGTCCACAGACCAGGCCTCTCCCCAGCCCTTGGCCCTCAATCCAAGCAAAGAAGGCTGCCGCAGACTCCAGTCTAGGCCCCAACCCCATTCCTCACTGTTGGTCATACCATCTTCCACAAATGGCTCTGCACTGTTGTCCAAGTAGGTGGAGCTACAACTGCCTGGTTCCATTCCTTCCATTCTAACCATGATCAGAGAATCAATTATTGTATGGTTTCTCTTCCCACTCTCACTCCTGGCTACCAAAAACCTATCCTTGTCCATCTCCTATTTCTAATCGACATGCTACCACTTGGCAACATCAGAAATCAGAGCACAGTTCCCATTTGCATTTCGTCACTGCCTCTCTCAACTCTTGCGCTGTCTTGAAGCTCAACATCCCGTACTGGACCAATAGAAATTTGTACCAAACGAAGATTAAGAATGAAAGATGTTGTGTTTGTTCATAAAAACAATTTTTGTTTCCTAACACTGAATCCATCCCTGTTCCTGAGGCTGAACAAGACTGTCCACAAACTCAGTGTCAAATTTGGTCCCAAATACAGCCTCCAATTACATATCAGCATCATAATCAAGACATCCTATTCCCACCTCTGGAACATCACTCAGTTGCATCTCTGCCTCAGTACATCTGCTGATGAACCTTTTGAATGTCTTTGTCAATATGAAACTTGATTATTCCAATGCACTCTTTCTCAATCTTCCACATTTTCCCCTCTAAGCGTCCACTCACCCAAAACTCTGCTGCCTAATGTCCTAACTTGCACCAAGCTCTGATTACTCATCACCCCCTATGACATTGACTACCAATTAATTAATAGCTCAGTTTTAAATTCTCATTCTTGTTTCAAATCCTTTCTGTGGTCATATACTGTCTATCGCTTTATATCTTTCTGTCCCATTACCCACTAAGATATCTGCACTTCTTCTAGCTCCTAATTTTAATCAGTCTTCCCCATTAGTTGTCATACCTTTTACTGCACAAGTCTTAACCTATGGAATTCCCTCCCTAAACTTATTCACTCCTTCAAGCTGCTTCTTAGTACAAACATTCTTGATCAAATACCTGCTACAGCATGTGGTTCAATCGTAGAGTCCCTACAATGTGGAAGCAGGCCATTCGGCCAATTGAGTCCACACTGACTCGCTGAAGAGCATCCCCCCAGGCCCACTCCTCTATTCCATCCCTGTAACGCTGCACTTCCCATGGTTAATACATCTGCCTGCACACTACAGACAACTTAGCATGGCTAATTCACTTAACCTGCATATCTTTGGACTGTAGGAGGAGACCGGAGCATTTGGAGGAAACCCATACAGACATGGGGAGAATGTGTAAACTCCACACAGAAAGTCATCCAAGGGTGGAATTTAACCCCGGTCCCTGGCGCTGTGAGGCAGCAGTGCTAACCACTGAGCCATCATGCCACCGAAATGTCAAATATTGTTTTATAATCCTCCTGTGTGAAGAGTGTATTGTCCTATATTGTGGAACATTTTCTAGAATGGAAAAGTATAGACGTTATTCAAATAAACATTCAGCTCTGTTGTATCCTTTCTATTCTTCAATAAGTAACCTTCAACTTGTCATGTCTGGTCTAGTATCCTTTAGTCTTGTACACATTGGTCACATTGGCACATTGGTCCACCAACTGTCCTTGCTGCCATACAGTCAGCCATGTTGCTGTTGGCCTGATCACATATGTAGGCCACACCAGGTAAGGATGGTAGATTTTATTCCCATGAGGACATTAGTAAATCAAATTGATTTTCTTTTTTAAGAAAAAATATGATAGTTGGCACAGTCACCATTACAAGGGCTCCCTTAATATTCCAGATTTTATTAGTTGACCTTAAGTTTCACCAGCTACTACAGCAGTGTTTGAACTCATGTCTCTACTCAGTGTGAACTCGATAGGCCGAACAGCCTGAGATAGACAGTGTAAGACCATAGAAAGGAATTGAAACAAGAATGAGAATTTAAACTGAGCCATTAATTAACTGGTTGTTAACTAATTAGTCTGGGCCTCTAGCTTACTAGCATTATACCATTACACCACCACCTTCAAATTGTACACATTGAAAGGAGAAGATTAAACTAAAATATTGCAGATGCTAGAAATCTGAAATCCCATACTAGACTTCAAACATTAACTCTGTCTCTCTTCACAGATGCTTCCAGACCTGCTGAGTTTCTCCAGAACTTTTTGCTTTTATTTCAATAGGGGATGCTTTGATATCCTTTTTAAAAAAATTATATACATTTTTGTTGGTCTGTTCTGGACAAATTTATTGTCTGGGCATGTGCATGAGATTTAGAGGTGTTATTACCAGAGACCTGAATGGGTTTCAAGCAAATTATCACCAAATTGATACAAAAATGTCCATTTGAGTAACAACCTAATCTACATTTAGTTTAACACTGACTGATTTTTTTTTCAGATGCTCCAGCTCTAAAGCCAAATCACTCCTGTTCAAGTTGGTCCCAATCCTCCATTGGTTGCCCAAGTATCCCTACCGAGATTGGCTATTAGGCGACATCTGCTCTGGGTTCAGTGTTGGAATTGTGCAATTACCACAAAGTGAGCACTTTCTCTTTTACAAATGCCACAAAAAGGCAGTTGCAGTCCCTGTTGTTACCATATTGAGTTATAAAGAAAGGCTGAATAGGCTCGGACTTCTTTCACCGGAGAATAGGAGGTTGAGAGGCAACCCGGTAGAAGTTTATAAAATCATGAGGTGTATAGATAGAGTTAATGGTAGTTGTCTTTCCCCCAGGATGGTGGATTTCAAGTCTAGGGGACATATTTTTAAGGTCAGGAAAGAGAGATTTGAAAGACACGAGCGACAAATTTTTACACAGAAAGTGAAATGAACTTTCTCAGGAAGTGGTGGATGTGGACACAGTTGCAATGTTTAAAAGACACTTGGATAAGTACGTGAATAGGAAAGATTTGGAGAGATAGGAACCAGAAGCAGGCAGGTGGGACTAGTTTTGTTTGGAATTATGTTCACCATGGACTGGTTGAACCAAAGGGTCTGTTTCCATACTGCATGACTCTATAACATGAGGACCTCTAACAATGTAATCAATTTTTTTTAAGGCAATAAAATAGGATGGAATCTCAATGCATTGTACCTACATCCAAAGACTGTTGAACAGGCAGCATTGCTTTGGTCAGTCATTATACATTACAGCCCACATTCAGCTTCATTAAAATCCTGAGAGCTGAACATGGTGATGTGGTGGATAACTGGAGGGACACTAACTATTACTGCTAAAAGAATGCTGCCTGTCATGTGGGGTCCATAAGGAAAGAGGAGTTAATACATCAAGGTTGATTCCAAAAGGGTCGTCATAAGCATTAGGGTTAGGAAGGATTGGGATTATGGCATTTCTTCCACCTTGTTCTCCTATTAATGAGAGGCTCCAAGATACCTGAACAGAAAGGAACACATTGCAAACATTAAAAATGCACAATAGTTAAACAATTCAGTTCATAAGTATGTAATATTTTCCAAACATCTTAATTTACATTATGAAATAAATGAGATAGTGTATAAATATTTATGCAATGTTGTTTTGCAGGTATGGCATATGCCCTTCTGGCAGCTGTTCCCCCTGTCTATGGACTCTATACTTCCTTCTTCCCAGTGCTTATATACTTTATATTTGGAACATCCAGACATGTTTCAGTAGGTGAGCTTCGTCTTTAAAATACCTTGCCCCATTTGCTGAATGCCTGATTCATTAGGGAAAAGGATGTACACCAGAACATCGTGCCTCAGCCTTTCCAACTGTTATTGTTCAAAAGATACATCTGTTTACAGAGTTCCTTTTTCTGTTTCCTACATGTTGGCTAATATTTCTAACCTGATCAATCCCACGCAGCCATTAAAATCTGGAAGCAAGCATTCAGTAGTTTTTTTTTTCCCTTTATTCATTAACAGGATGAGGGTGTCACTGGCCAGGCAGCATTTATTGCCCGTCACTAATTGCCCAGAGGGCAGTTAAGAGTCAAACACATTGCTATGCATCTGGAGTCACATGTCGGCCAGACCAGATAAGGATGGTAGTTTCCTTCCCTAAAGGACATTAATGAAGCAGATGGGTTTTTCCAACAATCAACAATGGTTTCATGGTCGTCATTAGATTCTTAATTCCAGATATTTTTATTGAATTGAAATTCCACCATCTGCCATGGTGGGATTTGAACCCCAGGTCTCCAGAATGTTATTTGGGTCTCTGGATTAACAGTCCAGTGATAATACCACTACGCCACTAAGTAGTCAAGAAGAAGCTACTGTTCTCAAGTGTATGTAAGAGGCCCAGTTTAATGATAACCTTTTCATTGTGTTTTACACATTTAACATTTCCACTCCAGGCCACCTGTTATCTCTTGTTTGCCATGCCTTACCTATGCTTTTCTCTAACATTCACCTCACACCACTTGTTCTAAGGAGCCACTCATGCTACATAGCTACTCAAGTTGATCCATGATCCATTCACTGTTAGCTCATAGTTTGAATAGACAGTGCTCAAACTCCCCATGCAACTTTATCTTTAGATTCTCTATGGAGAAGCCTACTTGTACACTCCTGGATTACCTTCATACCATTTCAAGTGGGGATCATTCATATTAACTACTTCTAAAATTGCTTTGCACAGTGCAACTGTTATTTCACTGCATGCAGAATGCTGCTTTCTAAAAGATATTATTTTTTAGGGGGGTTTACAGTGATGTTGTAGTAACATCACCAGGCTAGTAATCCAGAGGCTGGCTAATGCTCTGGGGATGAGGGTTCCAATCCCTTTTCACCAACTTATGGAATTTAAATTCATCTGATCATAAAATGTGTAAAATGATAAGGCGAGTCTTGGTTTTGGCGACTATGAAACTCTCAACAGTTGTTGTAAAAACCCATCTGGCTCACTTTTGACCTTTAGAAAAGGTTCATCCTTACCCTGTCTGGCCTGCATGTGACTCCAGGCCCACAGCAATGCGTTTGACTCTTAGCTGCCCTCTGAATTGGCTAAGGAAGCACCTCAGATCAAGTACAATCAGGGACAGGGCAACAAATTGTTAGTGATACCATATCCCAAGAAGGAATAAAGAAATTCAACCTCATGTAAACACTTGCTAAGAACCATTATGTGCAGGATGACTTTTTACTGTGAAGGGCAGTGCTCCGTTACACTGTGTCAGTGATTCAACATCAATGTGATACTCATAGTAATTTTGATCATCAAAAGTAAAAGGAAATTCGTAATCTATGATCTAATTCAGAATGTTTTATGTAAAATGATGCTTATAGTTTGTCGCCTTTGTACAATTCTGCTTTGATGCAGGTTCCTTTGCAGTACTAAGTGTTATGCTGGGCACCATAACTGAGAGGATAGCCCCAGATGAGGACTTTGTGATCAGTTCTCAGAACAATACAAATGGAACGGTGGATATTGACATTGAGGCACGTGATTTAATGAGGGTGAAAGCAGCAACGATGGTTACATTCTTGTGTGGGATCTTTCAGGTGAGTTAATTTTTTGCTACAAGAAAGAGGAAACTTAGCATTCATATGGAGGAAGAGGGGAGAGAAACAGCAGAATGTCAAAATAATTCTGTCTAAAGAAAATTGTGCTTGCATGCAGTCAAGAAATTGCGGTCTCGTATCACCAAGGGAAAGGCTTACGTCTGAGGCAATAAATTTCAATTCTATTGTGATCTCCAGCTCATCCCATTATCCCTAATATTGTCCATTGTTATTTATCCAACTCCTCTCCTTCTTCATCACTTATTATTCACCCAGATTCATCCATCATCAATTTGCCTTTTAACAAATCACATGTTTTCTGTTCTCAAATTGCACTTTTTGCAATGAGAAGCTACAGTTATAGTGATTTGGAGATCTCGGGCATGTCTCACACCCAGAATATAACAGGGTCAATCATTCTTTGTTGCTAAGACCCTTCTACCTGTTAAATGGGAGAGGGGTTAACCCTGATTCTTAGCATATTGAGTTCTTTCCTGTAATGCTAGAAAGGAATAGCTTACAGTGGAAGAGACTGATGGAATGCATAATACATGGGGTCATTATAGGTGGGGTTCAGTACAGGTGGGATGCATTATAGGCAGAGTTCACAACAAGCAATGTCCACTAACAGGTAGGGTAAATAATAGACAATGGGGATGGTGTTATCTACTGTTTTGATCCACTGCCAAAATTTTAAAATAAGTTGTATCTGTTTCATAATGGATTTAATCTAATCCATAAGGAACATGTCTTTCAATAAGATAATGTTTTGTTGAATCCTTGCTCTCCCGAAATTGCCTGTGCTCACGAAGAATATGCAATATAGCTAAGTGTGACAATAAATGCTGATTAATGAAAACTTTGTTATCATGCTGCGCCTCCAAGTATAGATCAGCAGTACAGATGCACCCAACTCTCTCAAAGGAAACAGATTAACTGGGGGAAAGTGCAAAATAGATCATCACTGGGGCAGAAGCATCGTCATTGTATCAATAGCCATTTTTTCTTCTTCAATCTACGTAGATCATGTTAGGATTGATACGGTTTGGATTTGTTGTCACATACCTGTCCGATCCTCTCGTTCGAGGTTACACAACTGGTGCAGCAGTCCATGTGTTGGTGTCACAACTGAAGTATGTGTTTGGCATTTCGATTCCTAGAAAGAATGGACCACTCTCATTAATCTATGTGAGTAAGAGGTGGCTTCATGCAATGTGAAATATAAATGTGTGACCTCTGATTGCTAGATTCTAAACTACTGTTTCAAATCACTGCCATGTGTTACTTTTACTGTAATCTCCAAAGCTAAACCAACAACAAATTGCATTAAATAGCACCTTTACTGTTGCAGAGTCCCAAAGCACTTCACAGAGATCAACTAAACAAAATTTGACATTGAGCCAAAAACAATGACCAATTATTACTGGGAACAAATGGGAAACACAAAAGGACAGTTGACCAAATTCTTGGTAAGATAAATAGGTTTTAAGTAGCAATTTAGAGGAGAAGGGATTTTAAAGAGGAAATTACAGAGTTTCAGACCTAGATGACTAAAGGCAGGTCTGGTAGAACAAAATAAGCAAAAGATGTAAAAGAGGCAAGAATTACAGGAATGCAGTTTAAAGAGCATTCTAGATTGGAGGAGATTATAAAGACAGAGAAGGGCAAGCTATTGATGGGGTTTGGACATAAAGAAGAGAATTTTCAATTTGCTGCTTTGTTGGTTCACAAACACAAGAGTGAATTGGACTTTGCATGAGTTAGACAACAAATCAAACAACTGAAAGAAGTAAGAACCAATATACTGTACAATGCACACTGATGCATTTCTCAGTTAACTAAAATGCCTACATTTGATTGATTGAATGAATGAATTAGCTTTATTTTCACATAATCAAATGAGTACAGTGAAAAGGTTACAGTCACTGCATTGCAGCACCATCTTAGGTATAAAGGTACCTAGGTACAGATACTTAAGATCAAATTCCTAGGAAACAAAAAGAAATTAGAAAAGTGAAGAAAGTTCTGAGAAAGGGTCACCAGACCCAAAACGTTAACTCTGATTTTTTCCTTCACAGATGCTGCCAGACCAGCTGAGCTTTTCCAGCAACTTCTGTTTTTGTTCTCGATTTACAGCATCCGCAGTTCTTTTGGTTTTTATTGCAAAATTAGTAGTCCAACATTGTAGGTCATAGGAATAAATTAGAAAAATAAAGAAGTAAAATGTTCAGAATGTCAGTTTTTCTGATCCAGTCCATGCTGGCACCCAGCCTTAAGGTAGACTTCCACCACCTCAGTGTTGCCTGCACTGAACCCACCAGCATAGGAGTTGCCACACAGTAGGTGCCATCTCTGCCCCTCTGGGTCCACTTTGTTGATGCCGCTGAACCCACACTCGCCCCCAAAACCAAGAGACCCCAAATCTGCTGCCAGGCTGCCACTGGGTCACAAGTCCCACTTGGACTGCAGATGTCACCTTGCTTGCGCTGCCATCTTGAACAGTCTCTTGCCACCAGCGCCGCCATCCCCAATCACTGGAGGAGCTTTGCTGCCGCTGATCCCAAACACCGGAAGGATGCATTCGCCGCTGCTTCCATAGGACCCCCAATTGGCAGGAGGGCGGGATATCGCTGCCGTCAGCCTCCTATCACCGGGAAAAGCCACGTCTGCCACTCCGCACGCAGCCTCCTCTTGCTGCCACGCCAGTGCTGCACAAAAGAAGAAGAAAAGAAAAAGAAAAAGACACAAAAGAAAAGGAAAATAAAGTGAAAGAAAAGAGCAGAAGCAGAAGTAAAAATTGTAAAGTATTCAACGCAGCATGTTCAATGCATACAGCTTCTGTTTTGGTCAATCTGTGCATGACGAAATATGAAGAAAGAAGTATCATTCAAACCAATCAAATTCTGGAAAATATTGTTGATTTTATCTTTCAATGGCAGCAGGATTTGGATGGTAATGATTGTCAGTTGTAGTTATTTTAATCACCCTGTCCTAACACACCTGGAGGATTGTGGCGCTTCAACCCAGACGTTGTGACCTGAGGCACCCTTGTGCCACAAGATCCTCATTGAGCGCTTGTTTTATACCCCACCTAACTCACTTTTACAAAATCAGTGGGATATTTAACAAGCTAATTAATTCCTAAAGACACATTTCCAGCATCAAACAAGGTTAAAATTAGTCATATTTGTTTTACTGAGCACTTTGCCTAACATATAAAGTACGGAGGCATGGGATAGGGGGAAATGTGGCAGATTGGATTCAGAATTGGCTGACTCTTAGAAGGCAAAGGGTGGTAGTGGACAGAAAATATTCAACATGGTGCTCAGTTACAAGTGGTGTACCATAAGGATCTGTTCTGGGTCCTCTTCTATTTGTGATTTTTGTAAATGATTCGGATGTAGGAGCGGAAGGGTGGATTAGTAAGTTCACGGACGATACAAAGGTGGTTCGAGTTGTGGACAGTGCGGAGGGCTGTTCTAGGTTACAAAGGGACATTGATAGGATGCACAGCTGGGCTGAGAAGTGGCAGATGAAGTTTAACCCTGAAAAGTGTGAGGTGATTCACTTTGGAAGGACAAACTTGAAAGCAGAATACAGGGTTAACAGAAAGATTCTTGGCAGTGTGGAGGTGCAGAGGGATCTTGGAGTTCATGTCCACAGTTCCCTGAAAGCTGCCACCCAGGTGGATAAAGTTGTTAAGAAGGCGTATGATGTGTTAGCTTTCATTAATAGAGGGATTGAGTTCAAGAGCCGTGAAGTTATGCTCCAGCTATACAAAAGCCTGGTTCAGCCACATCTGGAGTATTGTGTCCAGTTCTGATCGCCTCATTACAGGAAAGATGTGGAAGCGTTGGAAAAGGTGTAGAGGAGATTTACCAGGATGTTGCCTGGAGTGGAGGGAAGGTCTTACGAGGAAAGGTTGAGAGAGCTCGGCCTTTTCTCTTTAGAACAACGAAGGATGAGAGGTGACTTGATAGAGATGTACAAAATGATCAGACATCTAGATAGAGTGGATAGCCAGAGACTTTTTCCTCGGGTGAAGGTAGCTATTACGAGGGGGCATAGTTTTAAAGTGAGTGGAGGTAGATATAGGGGAGACGTCAGAGGTAGGTTCTTTACTCAGAGAGTGGTCGGGGCGTGGAGTGCATTGCCGGAGAGGGTAGTGGAGTCGGCCTCATTAGGGGCATTTAAGCAGCTATTAGATAGGCATATGGATGATAATATAAGGTAGGGCTGGAGGTTAGATAGACCTTAGGTTTAGGGTAAATGTTTGGCACAGCATCATGAGCCGAAGGGCCTGTACTGTGCTGCACTGTTCTATGTATTCAACATCATGAGGGATGGGGACTAAAGCGTAAAAGAATCCTTTAAGGATATAAATTATGAAAACTTGGTCGCTTGCAGTTACCAGTTTTCAGAAAAAGCACAGGACACAGCCAAGTGCAACAATAGGTGTTCATTAATGAAACCTTATAGCCAGACAGATGGATGTAATCACCAACATAGACACTTATAACTCTGTCAAAGACCACAGGTACCAGGGAGGTCAGACTGCAAAATAACACCTAGATTGTAATGTGCACCACTGTGATATAAATAATCTCATTGAAGCTTAGGAGCAAGAGTAGGCCATTCAGCCCCTGGACCCTGTACTTAATTGAGTGACAGCATGGCAAGTACATACACACATATGTATGTTGCTGCTCAGATTTAACATCCTTGCTGAGATAGCAAAAATCAATTGATTTCAGGTTAAAATTGTTAGTTAAGCTAATGTGGGAGAAAATTTCACACACCTACCCTATTTGTGTGAAAAATGTTCCCTAATTTCTTTGAATGACCTGGCTTTGAGGTTACCTCCTCTTCACCTAGATGCACCTAAAATGGAAAGAGTTTCTCTCTATGTGCCTTAATTTCTTTCAATAACCTAACGACCTCAATCAAGTCAACCCATACCATTCTATATGCTATGTAATAATGGCTTATAAATAGCCTCTCCTTGCATTAAACTGATAAAAATGGGAGATTCCAAAGGGTAATTACTGCTCTTTCTGAGTTCTGAGAGTAATAAAGTTTTTATGTTGGATTCAAATGGTGACCCTAGATAATTGGAGCTTATGTCTCATACTTATTCTCCTTCAAAAGGAGATAAAGAGAATACTTTACTGTTCAGATTGTTCCACAATGAGACAACAGGCAATGAACAAGGCCCACTCTATACAACCGTCTCAATAATCCCTTGTCTAAACCAAATAGGTTAAAAAAAGTCCACAGTAAAAGTCATGGTTAATATTGTTAATGTTTAACCAGCCAGGCTGGCTCATTAATGGAACCTGCAAGGAAGGACACGGCATTAAGGCATGAGTTTTCACATTTTGGTTCAGATGATCTTTTAACCTTATTTGCAGATGCTTAACATCAGTAATGGGTTTAGATACCGGGTTAACTCTCTTCAAGGAAAGTACCTAGTGCAATAATGCAGTCAAACCTCCATAATAAAAAGTTCTGAGGAAGGGTCACCGGACCCTTCTTCAGAAATGTCAACTTTCCTGCTCCTCTGATGCTGCCTGACCTGCTGTGTTCTTCCAGCTCCACACTATGTTATCTCTGACGCCGGCATCTGCAGTTCTTACTATCTCTGAGGGCTTCGTTGCTAAGTTTTCAGATGACGTGAAGAAAGGTGGAGGGAAAGGTAGGGTTGAGGAGACTGGGAGGCTGAACTAGGACTTGGACATGCGAAGAAAGTAGGCAAAAAAAAGGCAGATGCAATACATTGTGGGAAAGTGTGAGGTTATGCACTTTGGTAGGAAGAATAGAAGTGCAGACTATTTTCTAAATGGCGAAAGTCTTCGCAAATTTGAAGTATGAAGGGACTTCAGAGTCCTAGTCCAGGACTCTCTTAAGGTTAACATGTAGGTTCAGTTGGAAGTTAGGAAGGCAAATGTAATGTTAGCATTCTTTTCAAGAAGGCTAGAATACAAGAAGGGGGCTGTAATGCTGAGTCTGGTCAGACCACATTTGGAATATTGTGAGCAGTTTTGAGCCCCATATCGAAGGAAGGACGTGCTGGCCATGGAAGTGGTCCAGAGGAGGTTTACAAGAATGATCCCAGGGATGAAGGGCTTTTCATATGGCAAGAAGTTAAGAACTCTTGGTCTGTAATTGATGAGGTTTAGAAAGATGAA